AGCATCTCCAGTGCACAACCTCGTCAAATACATCAATTTCAATTCATCACTTAATAAAAAACTACTCAGCATGATCTCAAACTCCTTTACAAGTGGTAAATAATCAGCCGGGTTTCTATCGAAACACCGTGGTTCAAATTTAGGGAGTTTGATGTTCCTATTATCCCTGAACGGCAAAACAGTAACATCAACCATGTCATGTTTAACATCAGACACATCGTCACAATTAACAGACAAGTCACCATGACTTACTTTCCTGTTTGCATCCAAGACACTCTGTCCCTTCTTTGACCCAGGCATTGTTGAACTTGACCCAATTCCAAAAAAGTTCCAGATATTGCTTGTTCAAAGAGGACTTGACCGGCACCAGGAAAGATGAACGGTGACTATCCAAACTTTCACCAACTGTTTGAATCCGCCAGAATCTGTTTCTACCGTCAGAAACTGTCAATCACGTCTCGTAAACCGTTAATGCCCAGCTCTTGCTACGCTCGGGCTCACGCTGTTCCTTGAAGTTTTTCAGAAACGCTTAGTAATAACGGACGAAAAAACCAAAACACCGATTGGCCGCTTGAGAATTCTTTATTGTAACACCAACATATAAAAAATATTTCTACTAAGGTCTGTGAACAAATATTACAATAATAAATCACAATATTACTTCTGACGGTTTATTGCTGACTTCTTTCTGAACAGCGACCGATGAGACGATGACTGTCGTATTGATGCCTCCGCGAAAATTGGGGAAGTTGGTTTTGAGCAAACAACCATGAATTGATCGTTCAATCTTCAACTACATTGGCAAAGTGTGTTTCTTGCTTCACATTATTTCAGCCGGAGGCATTAAATGTCATCCAGGAAATGTTAAGGAATTTAAAGACTGGACGCGCCCAAACTCAGTCCCCGAGTTACATGGTTTTTTAGGATTAGCCTCATATCATCGACGTTTTGTACTTAACTTTTGTTTCCTTGCAGCGCCTTAATTCGACATTCTTAGGAAGAAAGACTACAGTTGGACAGCAGCAGCTACGGAAGCCTTCGAAAGACTTAAAAACTGTTTATGTTGCCCCTTATCCTAGCGTATCCCAATGTTTCTGGCCAGGCAGCTCCATTCATCCTAGATACAGACGCTAGCGAATCTGGTACCGGGGCAGTTTTGTCTCAACAAGACTCAGATGGAGTAGAAAAGGTGATAGCCTATGCAAGTCGAGCACTCAGCAAGGGTCAGAAGAATTACTGCACCACGCGGAAAGAAATGCTGGCTCTGGTCAGTTTTGTTAAACACTTTAGGGCATATCTCCTCGGTAGACATTTCATTGTACGCACTGATCACAAAGCCCTTAGCTGGCTGCATAACTTCAAAGAAGCTGAGGGTCAGATTGCTAGATGGCAAGATCACCTACAAGAGTATGACTTCGAATGAATGCACAGACCGGGTAAAAACCATGGAAATGCAGATGCATTGTCAAGAAAACCTCTTAGGTATCACGGTGACTGCCCATCATGCACCGAAGCACAAGTTTCGCTGCTCCAACTGGAGGCTCATACTTCATATAGTTGGCCTGAACTTCAGTCTTCAGACCCTGAACTGGCCTTGATTTACGAACGTGTTCGAAATGGAGGCGAACGACCGACAACCCAGGAAATAAGTAAGCTTGGATAGTAAACCCGGTGTTTATGGTCTCTGTGGGATAATCTGAAAATTGTCGATGACATCCTCTACTACCAACATGGACCCACTTATACTCGTCGCGTTGTGGCTCCACAGTCGGCACTACCCACAGTACTAATGTCATTACACCAGCAGTTAGGCCACGAGGGCTCAGGGAAAATGATTGAAGCGGCTAAAAGACGTTATTGGTGGCCTCATCAGAGGAAAGACATCATAGATTTCTGTGACTCCTGCGAGGTATGCCAAACTATTAAGGCTCTGCACAAATATAATAAGGCACCCTTAGAACCCATTATAACTGGCCACCCAAATGACTTAGTACAAATAGATTTGTTTGGACCTCTCCCAGTAACTTCCAGAAATAATAACTATATTTTAGTCATGGTAGACCATTTTACCAAATGGTGCGAGTCTATTGCGATCCCACAGATTGATGCTGTAACCATCGCAGAGTCAATTTTTGACCACTGGGTCAGCCGTTGGGGGGCACCACTTCAACTGCATTCAGATCGAGGATCCAACTTTGAAAGTATCGTTGTCAGCGAACTCTGTCGTATAATGGGTATCCGGAAGACACGCACTACCGCGTACCACCCACAGGGAAATGGCTTGGTTGAACGCACCAATTAGACACTTAAATCTCTCTTGCAGGCATTTGTAGATCAAAACAACCCCAGGGAATGGGACCGATCACTCTCACAGTGCTTAATGGCATACAGAGCAAGCATTCACAAAGCTACGCGTCAAACGCCTCATTATATGGTCACTGGAAGAGAACTCCGGTTGCCAATCGATCTGACTTCAAACACATTAGGAGAGGATACACTGATCGCATCCGAACACGTAATCAGACTTAGACGAAACCTGAACAAGGTACACCAGATGACTAGGGATATACTCCAAACAAACCAGAGGTACCAGAAAGAATACTATGATAGGAAAGCACATGGATCACCAGTGGAACCAGGAGACAAGGTGATGCTACTTAAGGAGGCACCACCTAAAGGGAAAGCTCTTAAATTCCATAAACGCTGGGAGGGACCATTCACTGTAGTAGAGGTACTAAGTGACCGCACTTGTAGGATTCAGGAACCAAATTCCTCTCATAGTTTAGTCACACACTTCAATAGACTAAAACCTTTTCGACAACAGGCCTTGGTTCAGACAAGTCCCGCAGAAACAGTCACCTAGCACTGTGGACAGTGCTCCTATAGGAGAGGGAGTAGTGTAAGGCATGGTAAGTTCGGCGGTTTTCTAATATTCAAACTATGCTTGTCTACTTTCAGGTTGGCTACGAAGTATGCAGGGATTGGTTACCCAAGACGAAGCAACGGATGACCAATAGGAGTGCCCCTTCCCTCTTACCTAATTGTATTGCGATTGGTTGTAAATATAACACTTGACCTTGAGTCTTCGTTCTTACTAGCACGCAACTCTTGTATGATCGCACTGGTAACGTGGGCCTTGCTCTCTGTTTCAGATCATTGCTTGACGAGTGGGATTACGTTCTCACCAAGAGTGCCTCTTCCCCTCAACCCTCTTGGTTTTATTCTTTGTTCGTTTATTACAATTATTATTCACAATAATTTATACCTTTCATGAAAACATTCTCTTAATACTATCGAATATTTCATTTATAATATCAGACTTATTATTAGTGATAGCGGGGTAGTCGAGTCAAGGCCGTTTGCATGTGAGGCGATGTAGTTAGTGATCTCTGGACTCCTACTCACTCTTAATTTCGGAGTTTCTTTTTCAAGATTCACTTCAATATCATCCGGTTATTTTTCTGTTTCTGAGTCCAAGCAGCCTCCCCAATGGGCTTAACTACTAACCTTGGACAAATATAGTTGTCTAATGTTGGTACAGCAACTATAATGATTAGAATCTGATTGTGTTCTGAAACCTGTTTATATTTTTGATTCTGACCTTTAATATACTCGAAAGTCATAGTTCTCCCAAAATACCAGTTATCGATAACTGATCGTTGGGAAGCTTGACAGTAAATGCATGTCTTATAAGACACTTTGCCCATGTGCATTAACCGACTGGGTAGTTAGCCAAAATTCACACAGTAATCAAGCAGTCGATTCTGCAAACTAATCCAGTATAGAATGCATGATTTGGTATGGCAAGACAAATCCGTTTATTTATCGAAGATTATGTATTGGGTGGCTGCTATAGCGAAGTTATAACTTCGCTTTTGATATCCTACAACTTATAGGCTGTCTGTCTGGATTCAACATAGAACTTGGCACCGAAGTGCAGCAGTTCGAGTTGCCACGTTCCAAATAGCACACAGAGGTAGACAAGAAGATGAGTGAAGAGAATTAATAGAGTTTGACAAATATAAGAGTGAAACAGAATGGGTAATGGTAGAAAGGAATATGAAAGATTACAGAGATTGAATACATCTGCGCCATTGACAACGATTTTGAGCCATGTCACCTATTGTCTCCAGCCATTGATTCCTAGAGTCGCGAGGGCCCCAACCCGGGAGTCTGCATCTCCCTACCTGACTCAGTTTAACTGTCAAGGATTTCATGGATTGATGCCATGTTTTTGTTTGGCCACCACTGGCTCTTTTCCAACCTGAACCTATATCAGCTAACAATGCCCGTCGGGGGAGGCGGTGGTTAGGCATGCGCACCACGTGACCTAGCCATCTTAGTCTATGTAACTTTATAACCTCGTCGATTGATTTTCCCTCTTTGCCCAACACTCTACGCCTAACATCAACATTACTTACCTTATTAAACCACCTAACGTGAGACAGAGATCGCAGACATCTATGATCGAAAGCAGTCAACCTTTTCATGTCTTCAACGCGTATTGGCCATGTTTCAGAGCCATAGAGAAGGACGGAGCGAACTGATGAGCAGTACACACGTCCCTTGGTTGATAACCGGATGTCACGCCTACGCCAGAGATGGTGTAAGTCAGCGAAAGCAGCTCGAGCTTTTCGGATCCGTGCTGAGATTTCATCGCCAATCAGTCCGTTGGTGCTGATACAACTTCCCAAGTATCTTATAGGCACTTATAACTTATAGGCACTCAACTTTAAAGCTTTAAACACAAAAGACATACCGATTTTAATTCTAAGACTAGGCTGCCACCCAAGGTGTGTCGCGTTTCGTAATCTGAAAAACACTAGCAATGAGTTTTGATTCGAAATTCCGTTGGAATTCACCAACCATCTTGCTTTTAAAAGTCATTATTTTCGGTCTACATTTACAATTGTTTTTCTAAATTTACAGGGATTAGTCTTTTTGCAGAACACTGCTACTGATGTGCTTCCTTATCGTCTCTAGCACATTTCCCTTCTGAAATGAGTTCAGAAATGTCAAGTTGGTAGATAGGATACTTCATAACACGTATATTACAGAGTCATACCAGAAAAAACTTCAGAAGATCCTGCGTAAGAGGGAGAAGCGGAAACTAGAAAAGGGTCGAAGAAAGGCAGCTTTACGTGAAAAGACGAAAGCAACTGTGGCGCAAAATTGTTACCATAGCAAAAAGTTCCAAAAAATGGAAATCTCTCAGAAATTGGACATGGCGTTGAGTGATGGAATAAAAGTGTACATAGACTGTTCGTATGAAGCTCTCATGTCCCTCAAAGTTCGTGTTAATGTCCAAAGCTATGACTGTTTGTAGGAATGCAATAAGTTCGCTCAGCAGCTGTGCCGACTCTATGGTGCTAACAAAAAGGCTTCAACGCCCCTAAGCCTGCATCTTGTGAATTTTTCTAATTCGGGAACTTTATTCCAAGCATGTCAGACTAAATGTGATGGATTTTCAAAGTACAAGGTGAGTCTTAGTTATGTCGCTAGAATAATTTCAGAGCTACAAAGAACTAGTTTTGTAAATAAATAGCATTTATTGTTAGTGCTGTCATGATAAGAGCATGTTTATTTTCAGTTGTTGGTTTTCTTGGGTGTGATTAGTTTCGATTCAGATCACTAAATGATATTTAGAAAACCACCCAAAACCAGGGAGCACTGGATAGCTTCTTTGTCGTGGCTAAGGACTCTTCAGCAACACGTACCCATCAAGGATGGGACTGAGAAACTTCTCAAGTGAGGATAACATGCTTTAAAATGAAAGCGTTATGTCAATACATATTTCACGAAGTCTTGATTTATTTATCGTATCTTGTGTCCAAAAACTCCCAGATATTAGTGATTTATAGGTTAGATAGTGATTAAGGAGATTTAGTTCACTTGTATACTTTCTTTTTGACATAAAAAGGTGTTTTTTATATGTGGGTTAATATTTCAAGTTGACAGAAATAACTTGATATAATGCCTTGACGTGTTAATCTCCTGCCTACTAACATGGAGGACTATTTCATATAGCATTAACTCAAAACTAGAAAAACAGCTAAAAGAAAGAAAAGGAAATGTCATGTTAGGAATACTTTAAGGATAGTAAAGACTATATTACAGATCATAGAGTAAGTTGTAGATATCGGTCCCTTTGCATGGGTTTGTGCGTTATCATTTGTGATCTTCAACCACAGATTTTCACTATATTTACAACTTAGTCCATAAAGCCGTAGTTGTTTTGAGAGACCGTCTGTAACTTAAAAAAAACGTGAAACATTAAGTGAAGTAGTCTAACTAGTCTGTGGTGCTAGGGTTCTCTACCCAGAAACGTAATGCTTGATTAGCGCGCATTCCCTTAGCGACAGAGAAGTTGACAGGAAACTTGAAGCTGAGCCGTCACAGGTCATTCAGTTTTTCGTAAGCGAGACTGTCGTCAAGGAAAACATGACATCACTTCAAAATCGTACCACTATTTTGTGTACCTTTGAAAAAAACAGACATACTTGCATGCGAAATTTATCAGGGTATCAGTTGGTTACCAGTAAAGTCAAACATTTTGGCCACAGTTGCATTTGAGGGCGAGATATTCCAATATCCCCTATAGTAACAGATACACTTATAAACACTTCATAATGTAAAGCTGTAGACATACTTAAACCTGTTTCAAAAATATGGTGGAGATATATGGACAATACTTATTGTGTTGAAATACAGAACATATACAGACTTTTTCTTACAAATGCTGTAATAAATGAAACCCAGTTTACTTGCAAATAGAAGACGGTAGTTTGTACTCAAGCGTTTATCGATGGTCAGAACACTGATAGGTACTTAAATTTTACTTTGTCTCATTCTTACAGACGCATAAAAGTCGATAAAACGAATATTAACATAAGCGATAGTTGTAGCACGAGTAAGGCAGAGTTCGAACCCTCTGCAATGTTGTCGTGTAAAAAAGATATATCAGAAGCCTTACATATTATTCTTTAAAAGGCTGGGATAACAATAGCATTCAGACTTGAAGACCTACTTAGACAGAAGCTATGTAGGTTGAAAATACTGCAATACCAACTAAATGAAACAATTTGACTTTTGACATAGCAAGTGCTTATTGTGAGATCAATTGTATGCGTAAGAGTAGTTGATTAAGGTCTGTCAGAATATTTGGAAAAAAAGCTTTGGCTAAATATAAACTGACAGATCCTAGTAAAATGGATTAACCCATAACTATACAATAGAGTATAATGAGGTGGAAGTTCCAAAATCGACTGTAGTTAACCGGTAAGAGGCAAACCGAATACATACAACTAGAGTGATCTATCACTCATTAGAGATATTTGGAGAATAATAGCAAAGAAACAAGGTACCAGATAAATATAAGAATTAGATTGGAAATTCGTATAATCACTTTGTTGTGATTACGAGCAGTAAATTCTCTACTCGGAACGTCATCCAACAAATAATACTGTATTACTAACATGCCATCGTATTTCTAAAGTTTAGCAGAATATGTAGTGTGGATTCTATAGCAGAAGGTTTGCTGTGGTTTAACATGCATTTACCAGACTGCAGTTATTAAACACCGTAAATCAGCCTAACAATTGTTGTGTTTGCTCATATTACAGCTGCGTTCGATTCATTGGACAAGCTTGCTCTTTTGTGTCACTAGTCAAGGGAGTTCATAATGAACTTATTAATACTTCGAAAGCTATATGCATAAAAACTTTAGGAGGCCAAGGGTATATAACTACTTATCAGTACTTTTCCGAACAAGCACTAGGATTAAACACGGTTGCCAGGTTTCACTATATAAGCTCACCATTGACAATATTGTTGAGTCCGTTTAGGGTCATTAAAAAATCAGTGATTGAGGACTTAATGTCATAACTCAATGGTGCAAATCTGTCTGCCCTTAATCATCGAAACTCTGAACATTTCTACTATCCATCATTAATTATTCTGCCTCACAGTATCGCAGTATCGCTACATCCTTGCTTTCTTCATTTCTTTGTGGTGTTCTGAAGTTTCACAACTTGAGTTCATATACAGCAGTATATTCAGAAATATTCAAGATACAACGTGATATCAATGCGTGAATTCACTAATTATTTGTACCAGTCACGTAGGTTGTAAAGTGAATGAGTTGTTACTCGACAACTACATACATATCAATGCAGCTATCACGTGAGATTTGATTTTACTACCTAGCTGTCCCGAACTCTTTAGGTAGGAGTTTAAACCCGCGACACTAGTTGCATGATTAAATTGAGCCCCGTGGGAGTTCTCGGGATGCTAAAAGAAGTGAAACACTGTCTAAAATATGCTCAGTGAAAATGTGTACATCTTCATTATGTAGTCTTCTCATGTTCTGTGGCGCATTTACTGAAACACGTAGGACTAAATAAAGGTGGATTAGGACTGTATAGCTAGTCAGATATGTGAAGCGGTCTTCAATGGTTTTCCTCATCAAGATAGTTTTCTCAAGGCGCAAATCCATGGGTCTCATCTAATCACTTGCAATTCTAAACCTGTATAAGAAGACTTTAGAAGTCTGTAGATATAAAATGATTCCATAAGTTAGGTTTTTATGACAAAAGCACTGAATAACAAAAGCCAAAATCGCATTGATGGTAATGAGTAATCACAGTTTAGCTGTGCGCGCTTTATCGCTTAACTTGTTTATTGATAAGTCGGAAATAAATGTTTGTTCTATGGGGTACGTATTGTCGGTATTGTTTAATTCACAGCATAAATTTGTGTTATCTGGATTCACAAGAAACATAGACCCCCAAAGCCTTTATGCATAATTGGCTGATTACACAGGAGTCTTGGATTGCCATTAAGAGAATACGAAGTAAAATTAAAGTCGCTATGTTAACATTTTACTTTCAAAAGTTTTGGGCAAAAAGAACAGTTCCAGGAATAAATATTTATTCTGAAAAAGTATTTCTCTTCCCACTATTCATTTTCTATTTCTTTGTAGATTGGATTTCACAATGGAACAGCATCTAGCATAACTGAAGATGATGTGGAGTTGGTTTATCTAAGCCCAGACGCACAAGAACCACTCTTATCTCTCTCCAGAAAGTGTGCTTATGTGTTGGGATGTCTTGTAGATGAACACATACTAAAGGTAACGTATGTACAAAGCTTAAATTATGTTTACAACACATGATTGTGTTAACATTATTAAATGCCAGTAACATTTTGTGTTGTTGTTTTCATAAGTCGGTTTAATGCCTGCACACCTTTAATTGACCATGATACTTGGATACTAATACGTTATCTGTACCTGGTACTTAATTTAAACTAGGTATGTACAAGTGATGCACCTGTGTTATGGGACTTCATGTTGTTAGTGAATGGAAATCTTCCCAAAAGATTATCGGATATACGATCACTCTATATCTTTGCTATGGTTGAATAAAATGTGGTACTGTATAACGTCATGTGACATCTGTGGTTCACTGGATTAGGCGCTTTACTTTCAAGCAGTTGGTGACGCGTCCGAAGCCCCCTCCATCTACTGAGGTTTCGACAGTCAGGTAGTATCACTCGCCCTCACACGGTAGGTGTGGCCCATCCCCACCTGTATGTAATTGTGCTTCTTGACGAATTTTCATTTCCCACAAAACAACAGCTAGAAGAGTCCTAACGTTGGTTGCAGTAACCGCAACCTTTTGGCGTTTGTCGTACTATTAGGAAGTGGTACAGAACTTTTTGATCCATTGATTGAAATAGCATCATATCAAGTATGACAACTAAAGAATTGTCAGTCATTTAGGCTTCAAATTACACACATCTCAAACTGGCTTACCGCTTTGACGAACTAATATTTTTGAATCCTCTGCTGTCATAGTTCACATTGAGTCTCATGTTTCCTACTCTATCGTTATCATTTCTTATGAGACGGAAGTTTACGATCATTATGCGGATCTCATTACAGATATTGATAAATACACTTTGATATAGCAAATATATTCATTCAGATATCTATAAAACACAACATAATCGAGCAAAGAATATTCTTTTCGATAAATTCCTCTTCTGGCTCTACAATTATATACATGTTTATATACACAGAATATTCAAGATTGGTAGTTAATAACAATATTAGTGTTTTTTAAATAATATCGATTTGTAAAGCAAGATCAATGCAATTACAGTTCACTAAAAATACTCAAATTATAATAGTAATAAAGATATAATAGCGAGTAGGATATCAACTAAAATTAGGAAATTTTCACGAAAATTGAGAATCATTCAAACCTAGATGGCCAAGGTAAGGACAGCGTCTGAACTAACTTCTTTTGGACGCACAAATTAGGCTTTTTAATGTGGATCCCAACAGCCTCAGCAATATTTAGTAATCGAACTCTTAAGGCGAAGTTGAGATTTGTTGGTATCCGATAAATAACTCTGAAAGCTTGATTAACATCAATCCTATGCTCTGTAAACACCAGATGAGCCAAAATAGCGCTACGGATAGATTTTGTTTGGCCTTTGCTTAACCACGCAGGGTGATGTTCGGAAATTCGACGAGAAACACGCCTAATTGTGCGGCCTATGTAACTGGCTCCACAGGAGCAATTAAATTGGTAGATACACATGGATGAGGCGAAATTAGGCAGTTTGTCTTTTACTCCCGAACGCAGAAGAGAAGTAGTCTTAAAGATACAACGTAATTCGGCAGCAGGGAATGCTCATTTTACCGCATTTCTAATACGCTGTGTTAGTATCTCGCTAGTGTTGTCCCCAAGGAACTGCATCTGAAAGAATAAGGCCTTTTTTGGAACTGTTGGTAACTTCGGCTGCTTTGGTTTCAAATTCATATTCTTATCAATAAACTTTTCAGGATAACCATTCTCACTTAGCAACCGTTTAATATTATTCAGTTCTTCATCAAGACATTCGTCCGAGCAAATCGCTCTTGCTCTGTGAACCAGGCACTTTATCAAATTGCGTTTGTATTTCAAGGGCACAAAACTGAGAAAATGTGTGTACTGGCCCGTTGATGTAGGTTTTCTATAAACACTTCTTCTTATTGAGCCATCCTCTTTTCTGGTCATAAAAACGTCTAAAAATGGAATACTAGATTCCTTTTCTGTCTCAATGGTAAAATTTATTGCAGTATGTACCTCGTTAAATTTATCCAGGATGCTCTTTGCTTCCTTCTCGTTTTTCATAATTAAAAAAGTATCATCCATGTACCGACAATAAAATTCGAGTTCACTAATAACATCCTTCAGAGGCCCATTTTCTAGTTTCGCAAGGAAAATGTCGGCTAGAATGGGTCCCAGTGGTGACCCCATTGCCACACCGTCAATTTGTCTATATAGTTCCTTATTAAATAAAAAGTGGACATTCATTGTACATTTCAAGAGAAGCTCTTTCACAAATGATATAGGAATGCCGACATTGATGTTTCGTCGTTTAAGTTCTTCGCATACAAAGTCCACTATTTCCATAAGTGGTACATTGGTGAATAAGGAAGATACGTCAAATGATATCATGAATTTATTGTGAACACTTAAATCTTTTATCCTTTCCACAAATCCGAAAGTATCCTTTACACTGTGTTTCACTAACTCCGTATGAAGCGGCTGTAAGATTTCGATTAGCCATTTGGCTGGATATATGGACAAATGAATGTTAGGAAGTTGGTTGTAAACATAGACTGTAGTTGTGTCCCAACAAGCATTCCTTAAGTTGTCATGCTGATACAAGACCATTTCGGAATTTCAATCGAATCTTAACATTTTTTTTATTTCATGCACATTGAACACGACTACACGTTCAAATTTTTATTTAGGGTCGCAGTCTTCAAGAAGCGGAGCTGCAACGTTGTCGTGCCGTACGACTTCCAATCCAAGAGTTTTGCGACCAGGATACATCAGGCAGGAAATCTAGTCCTGTGTTAGCAATCAACCACGTTATCGACATCATGTTAGCCTATATCGCAAACGGCGGCGACTGGAAAGCAGCAATAGAAGCCGGTATGCCAAAACGATTTAAAGTAGTGTAAAAAAGTTATTATTATCTACCAAATATAAAAAAGTTTATTTTTACTGAAGAGTGTCTTTTTTACAATTTACATGGGTAAACTTTTGTGGGCATTGGATGCATTATATAGTCACTTAGTTGCATGTACAGAGAGGCACAAAGCAGTAAGGTAATTTGATTTGATAATCATCGCATATAAGATCTAGAAAAAACGATGTTGAATTTACTACTGAAACTTACGGCATTTTGGTTTTGATGAAAATATGTAAAGTGAGAATTGAGGTTAGAATGCATCCGATACCAAGTGCCATCAATAAAATACGGTTTAACTTTGAAACTCTAGCTTCGTTGACTTTGTCCATCACAATAAATCCAAAACTTCCCATTACAAACATAAAACTAGCTGCTAGTCCTTCTAGTATATACTGACTATTTAAGCGCCAAGCCATTATGGCCACCTATGTATCACATAAGAATAGTAAATCTGACTTACTGGTCTTTGATTACCCCTGGAATCAGTCTCCGTTCCCATGCTTGGTGGTCCTACAATCATATCGTAAATAACACCTGTTGGGGAAAGTGGATGAGGAAACGTTAGCCACTAAACAAGTATAGCATACAATGAGTACAAAAATATGATTAAACACTTCAAATAATGACAGATCTCAGAGTAATCAGTTAGTTTATTATTGAAATTGACACACAGTTGAAATCTCTGCATACAGGGCACGAGGAACAATGAGTATTGAACTAAAGTTTCCTGGGCAGTGTGATGAGCTGTAAGTTGAGTATCTAAACCAGCCAATTGTGTATTGCTCAAGGAGAAAATAAACACACAAAAGTCTTTTCGCAAATGAAATATCACGCAGAAATTAAGCTATTCTGTACATACAGTATTTGATCAGTATTTTCCACCTAATTATTAGAAACATGAAATTGGCCATCATATTACAGCATTTTTCAGGACTCTTCAGTCACTTTTGACATCATCCATCTTGATCCTTGTATTATTGAGTAGGTATCGAACAACTATTTCACTATTCAAAACCTAGATCTGTTGATTATACATGAGCTTAAACAAGCATAGTTAGAGAAGTATTTCTTTTCATTCCTTCGTGATCCAAGTAGAATATTTGGTCCCAGGCTTCAGTAGCCGTGATGTTATTTTTACCAGATAGGTTTCACAGGATGATATCCAACCTTCCATCTTTTCTGGGATTACTATTGACTAGAAGACTGGGAAACGCTTAGGAGTGCATCGGCCGGGAGCCTCAAGCGCAGTTGGCGAGTATTCTACCACTGAACCACCGACGAACAAGAAAACACATAGATGATACATGTCTGTGCAACTTCAGAGATATTTGAGCATAAATTATGACTACTTTGTTGAATTAATCCGATTAGTAAACACCAGGTCTCAGGTTTGTATCAACTTCCTTTACCTGAAAAATTTAATGCTTCAACACTATAACTTACAAACCAGCAAACAAGTGTAGAATAACTTTCGTGTGAGAAACTAATTGTATGGAAGTACCGATTTAACGGTGCTTCACGAGCCAGATTCAGATAATAAGTATAGTAAACCTTTGTTACCTATTTTAATCCTTGGAATATATATCTCTGCACAGGTCTAATTTCTTTTTGAAAGCCTTCATCGATGCAGTTGATACCACTTAATCAGGTAAAGAGTTCCAATCGTTGACCAATCTGCTAGGGAATCTAAATTCCACACGTATTTTATTCGTCCTCAGTTTGAGCACTTTTGTGATGACCTCGTAAATGTATCTCAGAGTGAGAGAAAAGACTAGAAAGGTCAATCTCTAAATCACCCTTTAATATACGGTATGCAAAAATTAAGTCGCCTCACCTTCGGTATGATAATGGGAAGAGATTTAAATGCTCCATCCTCTTGTCATAAGGAAGGTATGAGGTACCACTGAACAATTCGTTTTCTACTCTCTGTATTCTTTCCAAGGTATATGCCTCTTTATTGGAGCATGGACTCCCGCTTTGTATGCAGTATTCTAGATGAGCCCCAACATATGAAGTGTGCAGTACTTGGGAAACAGACTCGTTCAATCGTTTGAATGTCCTTCGAAAAACTTAAGCTGTATTACAATTTGTGGCAAAGTTAAACTTTAAGCACCACTAACTACCAATCAGCGAATGATCTCGAACGCACCAGCCACGTGTAGGAGGTAATTTTGTGTATGGAATACATATATTTATGAAGTAATGCATAAAAGATGTACAAAAGTGTTACAGAGGATACCATGCTTTCACATGTGATAGAAATAGCTCTCAGTTTCAGGTTGTAGTATCAACAAAGTATAATTCCATTGTGAATAAAATTGATTTTGATAAAGTTTCATAGTGTTATACAATAATATTTACTGAGCAATAAATTTTGCTCCCAACGTCATCAGTTAATATTACTGTATAACACTGAGACTTTATCAAAATAAATCTTACCCACGATGGAATTCTACTCTACCACAGTGCACAAGTTCTATTCTTATATCAAGAGTAATTTAACCACTTTCTATGCATATAATTATTTAGGTCTTCTGACCCTTACAATGACCCTAGTCTTTTATGAACCTAACAATAACGTGAAAATATCCCTAAACTAACTATAATCTAACTCCAACCAACCCTAATGTCGCCTTTCTTAAGTTAACTTAACCCTAAACTGTCCTTGGCTTGAAGTGTAACTTAATCTTTCTCAAACCTAAGCTGAAACTTGTCAGATATCCCATTTAATAGCACAACACTTCGATGAGGATATTTTATTGATGATGACATTATTTGCCAGGTTTCACTAACTTGCTCAGTGAGCGGTCGCACTCCATCGGTAGTTAGTGGTGCTTAAAGTTTAACTTGGCCGTGATGTTTCTATACAAAGCAGAAATACGGTAATTACTTCTTATTTTCATGCAGTTCTTTTATCAGTTTCACTTATTACTTACATAGCTTAATTGCTACTGCTATATAGCAGTACTTTTATGATAGTTCTTTATAAAGTAGAACTCACAGTAAATTTTTACCGGATGGAATACTCCCAAAAATGTGAGACTTTAGGGTCATGAAAATATAATACCACAGAAATTTACATAACTGCTTAACTACGTATATCTTAAGCCATTTATACAAAAAAACGTACCTCCTGTGATTAAGAAATAGGTGAGCATGATGAAGGCAAAGAAAACCATAGGAGAAGGCCATGTTATGAAGCTTGGCTTCTTTATCTTGAGTTTTGGACACTCAACTAGAGAAAAAAGCGGAGACAAAACAAACTCCATCCGTAGCGACTATATTTGAAAGTGAAACAACACGCAGAACTAACGTGGATACGAAAAAAGTATTTTTACACTCATATCCTGATGGTGGAAAAGATCAGATTTTCCAGTGATATTATTTTTAACTGAATGCTTTTTTCCAATCTTTCCTGTTTGAACAATCAAATCATTCATCCTTTTATGCAAACAGGCAACCCATTGATTTCAGACTTATGGGTTGAGGATAGAAGGCTTGGAGCCGATAATTAAAAAGTTCAATCTTTCCTTCACTAACAGCTGGCACTCTTTCTGTAGGTGGCGAACCCCTGACTGCTGAATAGCGAAATCTTACTGTATTTAGACTCATTTTTAGATGTCTTATTTTGTCTCTTAGTAGTTGAATATTGGTATGCATTACTCATAAAGTCGTCCGATGCTTGGAAAAGCGGAAAGTATATTTACCACCTCCTCCTCCTGAGAATAAGAATATTCTTGAATTGTCTGGGCTTGTTATAATTCAGAATGTAAGGAAAGGATTTCATAAAATAAGTTATTACTAGATGGCACATTTAGGCAGTTACTTGTTGTTCACTAATATCTACCATCTAACCCGATTGAAGACGGTATGTGTCCATGAGAACATGATCTAGAGGAGTTGACGGTACTGATATCCCATTGTTCCCCGAGTTTATGATGCTTAAATGGATGGTCAGATGCATACCACTAAACGCAACATAAAGTCCATAGTCCAACAGGGTATATATATCTACGTATGATCCCGGGCTCCTTATGCAAATGGTCAGTACCTTTAAAGAAACTGTTTGGATGTTCTGTTTCATTAAGATACTACCGCTGTTGACATGAATCGCATCATTTTTCCCATCAATTAACAATGAATATTCTTCGTCTCAGTTAACTGAACCTATCACTTTGACAATTGATTACTGGGTAGCCTTTATTGGTTAATATTATTGCGCAGCCTTGTTGATGACTTTGTTTAGGAAAAATTTTATTTACTGCAGCCGTCTTTTTAATTTTTACAACTATCTGATGTGCTTATTCTGCTATTTAAGTTTTATTGACCAAAGTCCTTCGGCACGTAAGCAATCCACTGTTTATGAACTCAAGAATATATGTGCACTCCAGGAACAATGAAACGAAGGAAACTCAGAAATGGAGCACCTTTGGCAATAGAAACACTAACAGAACACGGCACCATATGAGGATGGCATAGTTGTGCAGCCCGAAGTAGAATCAAGCATGGATCTTTCTGTTGATAACTACGGGGCATCTGTTAACCGACGTAGCTTGGTTGATTCTGGCAAACTGAAAATCTACCTATGTATACGGAATGATTCCAACCGGTTAATCCGACCTATGACACCTCCGTTTCCATCAGATACACAAGACGAGTTGGGCACCCAACACTCATGTAGGAGAGAGTCTTACTTGCCTAAGGGAAACAGACTAGTAACTAAATCAAATTCGTGGCATTTAGAATCCAAAATTAATAGTAATTATCTGCCTTGTTCCGAAAACAGCACTTATAATGTGAAATGGAATTCTCAGCATTTGTCACAATATGAGTGTCGCGTGTTGTGATTTTATTCTTAATCACGGCTCCTTTACGAATCATCTGTGCGATTCCCATCAAGCACTTAGACGGAAAAACTGGTCTTATAAACGGAAATGTCACATCAAATATTTCCTACTTATCAGATCGTTCTGATGATCACAGTTATCA